TAGCATAGTTCTCCAGCTATTCAGCTAACAAATTTTCCAGTTACTCCTTTTTACCATTGCTTTATCGTCTGATGGCCAATTTTTTTTGCTGGTAATCCTGATGTTCAATTCATCCCTTGAAGGGTTTAAAAAATTCAGGCTAAAATGCGGGTTATATTCATCATCCTGTTGTACGATTTTATGATTTCAGGCTGGCATGGTAAATCACTAAGCAGTCTGTGTTTCTATTTTCAGATGGAGACAGCATGATTTGGAAGCTGAAGAAGCAATCTTTTACATAACAAAGCGATTCGGTCATCAGGTGAGTGTCGAAAATGGTGAAATGGAAAAGAAGGGTGCCGGCTTATCCAGTGAAACGAGTAGTGCATCCAGTAAAAGCACGGACAGTGACGAGAAGAAGATCCAGCAGAAGCGAAGCTGTAATGATAATCTGTGAATCGTTACCCCATTATTCGGCGTTTTTACGAGAACTCTTTTTTTTTGTAAATTTTGTTAATATTTATTTTAAAAATTTTGCATAGCTGCCATTTGATTTTTGCATTATCACTCAGGCTAGTTCCTTGTGCCTTCGTCACTTACAGATAGTGAGTTATGGGAGGAGGTGTTGGCTTTTGACTTTCACTTTCTTCGTTGTCCTTCTGGGTTTGATGTGACTTTTCATTCTGCCCTACGAAACAAGATTTCAAGACACAGGTCCTGAAAAGCTTAGACGATATGAGAAAGAATATTTCCACTGCCGGCGGGCACAGCGCAGTGAGAAGTAGCACTGTTGCTGTACAGCAGATCGAGAGTCCCTCTACGATTCATTCATTCGTCTCGATGGTAAATTGGTGTTGGTATTTGCTGTCAGTTTGTTTGTAAAAGCAACTCTCTGAAGAAAGAACCATCGACAATCTTGATCGATTTCTGGATGGCCGTCATACAAGCTGGCATGTTGCCTACGGTCGACTGGTGCTGACCCGTTTGATGTATTGGACGATGGAGAATACTGTTTTGCCAGCAAATGCGCATCCACCAAAAATTATGAGTGTTTACAAGGACGCTATGATCAGTTTGATACGCTATGTTCGCTTAACTGGGTGATGATTTTCAGTGCGTCAACACCGACTTCGACGGGGAACATCCTGCCAGGATTTGACAGTTCTAGCTTATCAAGTTCTTGAGTTATGAACTCACCGAGAAAAAATTTGGCGGGCCCATACGTGAAACCCAGACGGTTCTAAGGGGCTCAGTTTGGAATTTTTTGGTTGTACTTGAGCAAGGACATTCCGCTGAAGTTTCAGCTTTCTAGCTTTCCTCGTTCCCCGATTAGCAATTTCCCCACCAAAATTTTAAAGTGCTCGCATGCGAGGCCCAGACATGCGTGAGGGCTCAGCGTGTGGTTGTTCTTGGAATTTGCTATCATTCGGGTTACTTCGCGAGTGCCACCCATCTCTCAAAGAAAACGAACACGGTGAAAGGAGGGTGTAGATTGGCACTTTACCTTCCCACTTCATTCCACACAAACTTACAATCCCATCAATGCGAACTAATGAGTCCTTTCATCATGGACAGCTTTGATTGCATTCACGTAACTTGTAGGTCTGTACAGAAATAACATTCAGGAGATCCGTTGAGAGCGGAGGAAGGATTGTTCATTTTACAAAAACGATCTGCAAAAAATTCATTCTATTTCAGCCGGTTTGCTGCGATCCTGGCTTTCACTATACGTTTTTGCATATATGCAAATGCAAAGTTGTCGAGCTAAAAAGTTTTGGCTTGACGAGGTCGAAGGGGCGTGGCGAGGCGAGGCGAAAAGTCGGACCGTGAATGAAAAGAGGGGGGTTTATATAGATGTTTTATGCTGCTCAAGGAGGGATTTCGTGCCAGCCTCCCCTTTGTACCAACTGCCATCTGGCTTCAACAACAAAGCATTATTAGATGACTTACAGTACTATGTCTAGACGCTTTACTCTTACAAAGGGTCATTAAGGGGTGTATAACACAGACACGAAAAGAGGGGGGAGAGAGCGGGGG